CAGCAATATTCTCGGCACTTCGACCAACTCGTTGACTCACTGGCAGCGAATATGTCGACTGACATTTTTTTACTAGACTATGAATTGCTTATCTACTGGGACGAGAATTACGACCAAAAATTTGCGTTAACGCTCTTAAAGTTGCAGTCACCGACTCGGAATTTCGGTAGTAAATTTTGATTATTTGTAAGCTTTGTTCGTTCGTGTAGGTACTTCACCATGATGAAAATGTTTTCTTCACTGAATGTTTTGACATTGACAGTTCGGTAATTGATTTAAAGGTGCGTTCACAGTGAAAGTTCAAAATTGTCAAGTCCCTATTGGAAAACCCGATACAAACCATGAAACAATGAGACAAAAATTATTAAGAATACTCTGGATTTTGAAAAAAAGAACTTGTTACGTTGAGTAGCAATGTTTCCAAGTTTACAATAATGACAGCACAAGTTATATTTACACACCATTTTGGTGAAATCATCCCGTTTTCCACTCACAATACTTGCGATAGTTCTTTGCATTATCGTGCCAAAATCTTCAAAGAAGATGCTTCAAGCTACTTCTGCGACTTTTTCAAGTTGTTCCATTGCGTCCTTCCTGTTACGGACACTATTTTGTGAATCTTCGATCCAGTTCGTCTGAAAGAAACTGTCGTATAAGATCGGGGAACTGAGCTTAAGGACTCCATGGTTTTTAATGTAATTTGCTCTTATCCAAAATGCAGAGTCAACCTACTTGGCGCCATATTTTATAAACGTCTTTTAACAGAAATTGGGATCCAGAATCAGTTAAATGTTCAGAATATGATTTATCATTTTTTCGCAAATTAGAAAATAGTTCTTTACTGACATTGCTTGGCTAGTGGATTTCAATTAATTCTCGAAGGTCTGTTTGGATAACGCTGTTTTGTTGTTCACTTAAAGCTTCCTTAGTTGTTGAGCAAAAAAATACACAGTTTATAGAATTTCATCATAGCATCTTTGAAGACAATTTCAGTTTGAAGCATCTTATGTGGAATCGCAAAACTTAATTATTATATTGTTCTCTATTTGTTTTCGTTCGTTAAAACTGGCATTTGAAAGTTTTGTTATAGGGTCCTTACATATGAATCTCCTTCGAAGTTGAGTCATTTATTTTAACAGTGAGTAGATCTGATCAAAAGAAATGTTTTTTTCCTTTACCATTTTTCTGGTAAAATTAAAGTAACAAAGTTATAGCCGTTTGGAAGTTTGAGTACCGCCCTGTCTCAATAATAATATTATGTGCTCGTGTTTGGCAACAACGGATATAATCCGCCTTATCGGTTCATCGCATCGGAAACAAAAAAGCGAAAGAATTTGGAACGATGTTTTTACAATTATTTTATTCAGTTGTATACAGTCAGTGTCAGTCGGTAACGCGTGAGTGAATAGTGGTGTCTGTTGCGTGGCTCAAACGAAATAAAAAATGGCACATGTTTACGAAAATGCTGAACGTATTACAAAGGGCTCGCGAATCAGGTGACTTAAGACCTCACAGGGGAGGGCATGCCGGTGCTCCAAGACCACACGATCAAATACAGGTCCGCACTGCAATACTTGTCGGGAGGATACTTTATAAAACAGGGTAACATTTTTTTTTAATTTTTTTTGTATTTTTACACACATATTTTGGTTTATCTTCCTTCTACAATCATTATCTGAAAATTAATGACTCAACTTCAAAGTATATTGCGTGTGAAATAGAAAATAACAAAAATTGCGATAAGGATAAATCATTCGAGTGAAAACAGAAAACCGATTAGCATTTTGTCTGTCCTGCAATGTTTATAAGGATAACACAGAGGGTGTCCCAAGGTAAACGTTTACTTTAACTGAAATTTTTATTAAGCCTATAAGCGTTCTGTTTGCTTTGGGATTAGATCAACTATTTTCGTGGGAATGCATATTTTGGTTATACTAGAATACCAGTTGTGATTGTTATCTTCTACCTGTCCATCTCGGTTTGTGTTTACCTTTCGAGACAGGACAACAGGTTGCCAGCCTACTCGTTTCTTTGCATTGACAAGCGTACTTCCGATTTTGCCCTTATGTAAACAGGCATATGAATATTTTTTAACAATGGAGTCACTTGAAATCACTCGGAAAATGGTGCATTTTGATAAAACTTGTCATAATATTCAAAGCAAGTGATCCTTAGATTTTGAAGAGCACTTTGTGATTGTGATTCACGCTTATTTTTGAGAAGCTTAGTTTACGATAATTTGAGGACTGTTTTTTCTTCTTATTTTTACTTTCCGCGCCACTAGCAAGGAGTATTGTAATCGCGAAAAATTTAAAAAATATAATATTACGTTTTTTTTGGGTGTTTATGACATATCCATCACGAAAAACCATCTCACTAATTTCTGTCGGACTGTCTGTTTGTCCGCGAATGTTTCGAACGTTTATAACTTGGAAAGTACCGCTCGGATTTTGATAAAATTTTCTTGCAAGATTGCTACTATGCCAAGGACGTTAAAGCTTTGTAGATTTTGAAAATCCCTCTGGTGGTGTCGGAAAAAATCGCTTAAATTTCGTTTTTTAATGTTTCAGAATTTTCGAAAATCAGATTAAGCTTTTTGGATGTTATATGACATGTATATCACGAAAAAGCATTTTCTTGAGCCCAGTAATGAGTGTTGCGGTGATCATTAGTGACCATACTCTCGTCGGACCGTATTATTTCTCACAGAAACGCTGACACGTTCGCTATTCCCTGGTCTAAGTCCTTGGCCAATCCTGAATTTATAAAGGTGATATCTATTTTTACGCAAAATAAATTGGGCTATGTATTTGGTTACTCCTACATTTTTCTCAATCTGTCTAGTTGATAACTCAGAGTTCTAAGCAACTGCTTGAGAAACACTATTCTGAGTTTTCTGTATTTTTGTAGCACAAAATGTAGCACGTCAGCATGTCGAACTTCTTTTCATCGCTAAAATGACGACGTGGCATCTTTGACGATAATAATGCAATGTTAACAATAAACAATAATAACAATGCTCGGTGACAGGAATTTACGTCAAGTCAAGCATTTGTTTGCAACACATACTTAAAAACATTAGAAGAATAATAGATACAGGGTGTACTTTTTACCAACCATATGAAAAGCAGATGATGGTTTCTCGAAAACGAATCGTTGGACACACAATTTAAAAACACATCATTCAGTGGCTAAAAAGTACCAATTGAAAAGTTTCATCATTTTTTTTTTAAATTTCATAAAATAAAGCCAAAAAAATTAAAATAATTTTAGTTTTTTTCAAATGTCTCAGTAAGCCATGAAATTTTTAAAAGTTCCTCAACGGTTGTAAATACGCCGCAAAAAACGCATCTTTTTCCTAATTTAACATACAGGTCTTGAGATCCCCATGCATCCGTACTGAAGCGCAAAAGACATACACGAACCTTTTACGAAACAAAAGATAACCCGCTGCAGGGATGTCGCACAGATGTGCAAATTTTTTTTTTTTTTTTGCCATGTGTTGTGCGTGACCTGCGGTCTGCTACAACGTCTCCTCATGTGTTTCAGTCTCTGGGAACGCCGGGTTGGTTCCCTTTACCTCGCACATTCTATCGATGTCGTTAAGCGATCATCGATAGAGGGTCTGCTGGTTCTCTTGAAACTCTTGTTTTCGAAAAATCAAGAGTTTCAAGTCCTCTTACCAATATGTTGTTCCTGGTCCTGGTCCTGAAGGGTCCTGGTCCTGGTGTGTCCTGGTCGTGGCGGGTCCTGGTCCTGGTTGGTCCTGGTCCCGGTGGTTCCTGGTCCTCTGCATCCACGCCGTGGGGTGGGGGGGGGGAGCAGCCGCAAGTTCTCCTAGTCTCCTAGTCAAGGTTCCAGTTAGCGGGTGCCAGCTGAGACCTTGGTCTGGGGTACCTGGTTCTGCGGTTGCGAGGCCTCTCGTCCGTATCGTAGTCCATGAGGAATCGTAGCTGCTCGTTCGGGTGGTCCTGAGCTTTCTCGAAGGTCTTCTCCGCTTTTTTCCTCATGTACTCGTGGATGGTATCCCAATGCAGGTCTCTACGCAAGGTTGAGTTCCTTACGTAGGAAGGTGCATTGGTGGCGATCCGGAGTAGCTTCATCTCTAGAGCAGCAAGTCGCTTGCGGTAGCTGGGGGCAGCGTACCCCCAGACCGCGGAGGCGTAAGCGAGCTGAGGTCTGGCAGATGTGCAAAGGGACACCATCGCCATATTTACGTTAAGTACCTGTAGGGCAAGGAAAGGATGTCTGGGTCTGTTTGGCTGACCTAATACGTTTAATTTTTCTGATGTACATGTCCGTAGCTGACTTGTTTCTAACAGAAATTTAAGTGCACTGCACTTAATCATTTATGAACTGATGACGGCGTTGCGTAGAGAGTGCAGAGTCATCCCACTTGACGCCATCTTTTAATATATAGTTCAAAGTATCTTTCAGCGAAAGAAAAGTGTAACTCAACGGATTTGAAAAGGTAGGACATGTACTTTGCCATGATGTCTATGGTTTGAAAAAAATTATTTGATATGTTACAAATATAGGCAAAAATCACTATTTTTTCACATTTAGGTTAGGATATTTCGAAAACTAGAGCCAACTGAGAGATTTGGATGACGGATTCGGATTGAGCGCATCGGAAAAGTATACCTACTCTGATTTATGCATAAAAGGATCGACTCACATTTGTCTGCCTGTGTGGTTCACACGATCACGATTCAGTTTATTCCATAAAGTCGACCGTGAAGGAGCTTCTGATTGATAGTTAGGATCTTTTGAGTCCAGATTTTAGTGGTATGTTAGCGTAAAGGTTAGACTCTCGTGGACAGTTAAAAAATAGAAGAAAACGGCTTGTTTCACGATAACTCTTTCCATCGGAGGCAATTTGACGAATCCAGTGATTACTCTAGCGCGCCACACTCCGTGAAAACGTAGCTTAGGACTCTAGTTGTTTATATAGATGTGATTTTTGGTTGTGTAACTGAACCACGTTCCATTTGTTCCAGACCCGGATGCCATTTGTCCGTACGATGTCAATGGAGCAACGTTGGCAAGACCTCGCGAACCTGCTGTCATTACCAGGAGGTCCTGGGGCTCCAGGTGACGCCCATGGCCACGGGCATGGTCATCCAGCTTTCGCCCATCCCCTCAACTATGGACATCACCATCACCCTGGAGGTCCAGGCATGTCCTACGCTACTGACGCCAGTACTGCTGCCAGGGTACTGCTCCACAACGCCTCGCTTGCCCCGCCACTGCACGACTTTAATTCCAGTGTGCCCTACTCAAATCTTGGTGAGTCGATTGTTTTAGAAAATTGTATATAGCGATATTACTGTTCCTTTTTGCTCATTGTACCATATCCACAGTCGCGTTGTGTTTCAGAAACACGTACCAATATTTTTAAGGATAAATAACAAAAAAGCTCCTATAAATATGGGTCCAAAGATGCTCCCCTACCGAGATACAGGGTGATGAAGTTTTATTTACGAAATCGAAACAAATATATTTAAAGATGCTGAGCTAAGCTAAGTTTTTTTATTTTTGAGTGTACTTTCTACCTTAGAATTTTGTTATGAATCACCCTGTACAAGTGGGGGGAGGGGGATGGTACCATAATACTGATCACATCATTGGCCAAATTACAAATTTTTAGGTAAACTATACTGAGTGACATTAGTCTCAAACATTTTAAACCTGTTTCTGAAGCATTAAAGCTATTACAAGTCATTTTATATCGTATGAGAGGTAAACTTAAATATGTATGTCATCTAACATCCAACGTAATACAGTGAAATCTCCTTTGGACAGACACCGTATAAAATAAATACACGAAAATCGTGTTTTTAATGAAAACTGAATGTATTAAAGAAACTGCGGCATTTAAAACGTATATATGTATGTTAAAATAGACAAAAACTTAAGAAAAAAAGTTTTGTTACCTTTATATATATATATATATATACACAAAGTATGTTCATACATTTACGTATAATTCAATATGTATGTAAGTACATACATATACAGGGTGTTTCATTATTTTGTCTTACCACACTAGGGTGTGCATTTGAGAATTTCCCACCATGGATTTATGGAAAACCACTGATTAAAAGAAAAAACGCCGAGACACGTCAAAGATTTATCAAGGGGGAGAACTTTTTAACCAAGAACTACTTTCACCCTCTGCCCCCCAGGGTCATCGAGTTGTTGTTGTTTGAAAGCTCTTTCGAAGCCTTTTAATTTGACGTTTGACTTTTCAAAGTCGGTTTATTCGTTTTCAAGAAAATTAGAAAAATCTTTATCTATCTTAACTTGTTCAGATAGAAAACAAAAACACACGAAAATATCACTTTTTATTTCAATAATTATCAGTCAATTTCAATTAATTCTTATTTTTGAGGATATCTGAAAGTACATTAAGTGGTAAGTTATCTTCTGGGTCAGGTGTATCAGCCTCATTTAACTGGTCCCCACTTTGCACATATTCATGCTTAAATCCTACTTTACGGAAGTAATTTTGTACTTTTTTTTTGGTTACTTGGTCCCAAGCGGTTTTTGCCAAATTGCATCCAATAACGTAATTTTGTTTATTAACTCAAAAACTGTCCCAGCAGTTTTAAACCCTTCATAATCCCTTGGTAAAGTGGTTGACAAGCTGATATACCATAAGGAGGCAAAAATAAGATTTTTAAATTACTCGTATTCAAGCGAATATCTTTTGGATGAGATCCCGCATTGTCGAAAAATTATGTTTCTTCTATCTTTAGCCATTTTCCAATCTTGGGCTTGCAACCACTCGGTCATAATTTGGAGCCATTTCTACAATGAATGTGTCTTTTTCGCAGACTAATACTGAATGAAAATTTAATCGAAAGCGTGTACCCAAAGAGTAAGAACAGTAAATCCCACATAGGCTGCGTTTTAACGAAGTATTAAAGCCGGTGAATCCATGGTTTACTCAAGATTGAGAAATGCAATAGCGATACTCCCAACCGAAAAACATCAGGCGTTCGTTTTATTTTGTTTTTGTCCGGTTAGGAGAACATTTTCTCGTGTCCGAACACCCAGTTTAAATGGTTTTATTTTAATAAAATTGTGTATAAGTACTTAATGAAGCATAATAAGTAAATGATAAAAATTTCAAAATGATTGCACTGCTTTAAAGCCCTTTGACCTTTAATAATGTTTGGATGCACCCTGATGTGCTACGTATTCTCCAACGCGCCTAGGCATGCTTCTGATCAGGTGGTCAATGTCCTCCTGTGGTATCTCATTCCAGGCAACCACCAACTCCTCTCGAAGTGCTTCTAGAGTCTGAGGAGGACGTTGCAAATTGAGCAATCTCCTACCCATCATATCCCACACGTGCTCAATTGCGGATAAGTCGGGAGATCTTGGTGGCCATGGTAACAATGTGACATCATTATGTTGAAAGAAATCTATTGTGACTCTTGCAACATGTGGTCGGGCATTATCTTGTTGGAAAGTTGGATCTGCCAGGGTGTCAAGATAGGGTAAAAGATGGGGTTCTAGAACTTCGTGGATATAACGCTGCGCGTTCATGTTACCTCTGATGAAGATTAAAGGTGACCTGGAACCATAAGCTATAGCACCACAAACCATAACTCCAACAGTGTGATGAACATGTCTTTCAACAAAAAAACTGTGGATTCCTCCTTTCACCACGTCGCCTTCTAACCCTGGCACGATCATCGTGCATGCCTAAACAAAATCGAGACTCGTCACTAAAGAAAATACTGTTCCATTCCTGATCCCAGAGTGACCGTTGTCTGCACCACTCAAGGCGATTACGTCGGTGTTCTCGAGTTAAAGGGAGGACCCAGTGTGGCCGGTATGAAAATAAGCCAAAACTTCTCATTCGTCGGTAAACACTTCGAATGCCAATAGGTCTTCCGTGTTCTGCAAACCATTCATTTGCAATGGACCTGGTAGTGGAGAAACAGTCCCTTAAGGCCAGTAATAATCTTAGGCGGCGATCTTCACGGTCTGTTGTTCTACGGCGGCGTCCAGTGCCCCTTGCTCTTTGCGTACGGCCTTCTCGAAGCCATGGCTGACAACACCTAACCACAGTGTCTACACTTCTTTGCACTCTAACTGCAATTGCCCGAAAAGAAAGTCCAGCTTCCCGAAGTCCCACTATACGGCCCCTATCAAACTCACTAAGTGTACAGGTCTCCGTACTCTAGGCATCGTAACCGATCGTAAAGGATGTCAAGAACCAAAATCCGCCAACGTTGATTCTTTACTGCGGCTGAAATATTCATTTTTAGAGCGTTAGTGAATCAAAAAAAAAGCAGTATAAAAACCGGAATGTCCAACTGATAAGGCTGAACATTTTTTCACTTGTTATTTACTTAAGATAAATACATTCACCAACTTTTATCAAAATAAAACTATTAAAACGGGGTGTTCGGATTTACTATATGTCACTTAGTATATATGAGAAACTGTCCGTTTAAAGGAGGTGCCTGTGTAAGATGGGTGTCCGCAATCGGGAATTTCACTGAATATTATTTTCGAAATTTCTCGAGGCTACAGTACTTTCTCTCCAATCGAAGTGGGAGGTAAAGGACCAGACGCAGTTTCCAAATCAAGTTGTGTTGCCGAATTTCATATCATTCCCTATCCCTGTTCTGTACCCGGAAGTGAATCTACGGATATAATAGATGATCTCAGTCGTGAGAATCATTATATGCTGTGCTTTTTCCATCAGATGCAATAGGCGATGGCGAATTCCCTGAGGGTTACAGCCCTGCGGGGTTGGAAGAAATATAGATCCCTCTTCGAGGGCGAGATACGACTCATTAATCAAATGTCCATAGATTTGGCAACGTTGCTAGCTTAGGAATGCTCAGACCCTACTATGTGACAAAAATACGCTTCTCCAAGAAATTAACGCAACACCAGACAAATTCCAGGGTTGGAGTATATTTTTATCATAACCACTTGTCCGATTTTGATTGTTTTTTGGGAATGAATGACTTCTGATAAGTTAATACATAATGTACATTACTTAATCTGTATTTTGCGTTTCGGGATTTGTTTTTTTTTAATTGACGAACATGCTCACCAAAACTCACGATCATTATCACAAAACTGAAAAAAAAATCGGAACATGCCTTAACTTGTCCTTTTCGGTATTTTCAAGTTTTATGTTCACATCTCAAAAAACAAGTTGTCATAGAACTGCTATTTTTTGCACCAAACATGCGAAATTAAAAAAAAAATATTTGAAAGCGTTTATGATAGCAAATTTCTATTCTAGATTCTTAATTTGGCCACTATAAGCGAAATATCGTTAACTCGCTAAACTGTTGACTATACGGAAAAGTAGAACAAAACAGTAGAGAATTTAGTTCAATCCCTATTGAATTTTTCTATGACTTTTTAACATAGAATCGATAGTTCGTATTCGATTTCTCGAAAAAAATGAGAATTTTTGAATTTGTTCCTCAGTGCGTTTGGACTTAAAAACTAGACCAAACCGCACAAAAAACAGTTCAAATTGCGGGCAGATCAAATTTTCATTTTTTAGTCTAGTCTATTAGTCGTGACTATGAGTCGCATAAGATTTTTATAAATGTATTTCCATGAAAATTGAAAGAAAACCTGAAAAAATCAAATTTTCCCAAGAGAAAATGAAAATGTATAAACTAATTGTGTCAATGCCCTAAACATGCTGCTTTCGTCCATCTAACCAAAGACAGCCAAGCATGGACGTCTGTTTTGTGCTGTTTGTCAACTCATCACCATGGTCAAAAAGCATGAAACAACTGTCCATGGCTGGCTGTCTTTGATCATACGGATGAAAGCAGTATATATAGTTGTTCAATGGCGAGTAGACCACATACCGCCAGAATCGTCAGCCGCTCGCGGTCACATTGGTGACTGAGCTATCAACGCGAACTGAGATATTTGCAGTTCCAACTGATAGCTGCTATATACTCTCGCAGTGGTCGATACTGGTAACAGATGGCGCTTTGCGCTGTGTTATTTCGATAGGTATAGGTACTACCTTAATGTGTCATCATGAACTCATTTTATTTCGCCGTGAACAACGCTTTTTTTCAAGGTTCAAATTCGATACAACCTGTACATATATCGCGAAAAAAGAACAATAATAATTACTTTATATACGGGTGTCCGCAAAGTTGGTTTTCCTTTACACGACGTGTAAATCTTGAAAACATAAGCAATTTTTCTTAGTACCATATACACCAATGTCTTAAGGGAACCGAGATAAAGGGCTCTGCAACATCAAAAATATCTGAATA